TCTAACAGTTTTCAAAGAACCCAGCATGGCCCAAGCGTGTTTAGACTGTGTGCATAGCAAAGGGTGCTGATGCCTTTAATCATCGCTATATGTATTCGTCACTTTTATCTGGAGAACTTCATAGTCCTCCGCAGGGAGTCTTGTCCTGTTCATCTCTGCTTTACAGACAAGAAAAAGGAGGCACAGCCAGTGAGGGCTGGATTTGCTCCAAATCCGGAGGACGAGTGTTTGGGTCATCATCTTTTGAGCCAGTCTACTTTGTGTTTCCTCTCCAAGGCCAACATTCCTCCAACAAGATGCCTTGAAAAGTGACAAGGCACCAGCAAGAGTCTCAGCAGTGTTTTCCTGCTGCTGGTGGTTATGGCCGGTGTGGCCAGTGCCACTTGTACCTGTATCTTGCTACACCCATCGCCCCTGGCTGCAGCTGGGCAATAGGTTTGCAAAATTGCTCTGAATTGCAGATGAAAGGCAATCCTTCTTTCTGCTTTGGTGTTTTACACCATGGTGTAACATCTCTTCTCTCCAGCAGGCTCAATTTTATTTATTTATTATTCCTTTCCACGGATGCTTTAACATCAAGTAATTAGTACTGAAGGCAGCATCAAGCCAAGAACAAATTAGGTCATAACACGATGTCTCCTCTGCCTGGGTGCTCTGGTTTTTGGGAGCCCAGCAGGAGAACCTCCTACCTTCACTCTCTATGAGCTCCACTGTCAAGAGCATCATGCAGGAGTTGCGGTGCCCTGGGGCTGCAGGCAGGATGGTCTCTGGGGAACACCGCCCAGAGCATGCTGCTGCTGGTGATAGGTGTAAAAGGGAAGCCTGCCCTGATCCCTGCATCTCCTCCACTCTCACGGTGGCTGAGAAGGAGCCGGCCGAGCCCTAATCAAAGAAATGAGGTGTTTTTTTCTCTGGAAGCTATATGGGCTTTAATGAGAGCCTGATCCAGGGACTTCTAACCCCATTTTTTAAAAAAACCTCTTGAATTAACACATTTGCTCTCTCAGTTCAAACACATATTTCCCCTGACCCACAACTTCTTCCATGCAACATTCTTCCAAATCAGATTTTCCCTGGAAATTTTAGTGAAAACAACTGTCTCATAGCTTCAGCAACAACCAACCCAGCTGATACAGCCCTCCAGAGAAAACATTGCTAAACTGCTGGGTTATGCTCAGATGGAGGTGGCCAGGCACAGAGCAGGAGAGAGCCTGGGCAGAAGCTGGCCCAAGCCTGAGGAAGGAGGTATTCCTCAAGCATCCCTGGACTCAGTGCTGAGGTTGTCCACCCAATGGTGGTTTACAGATGGCCCTGCTTTTCCCCATCTTTTCGTTTAGCCACAGAACAAATCCCTTCACAGGATGACAAGTGTAAACCCAGCTCTTGTCTATCAGACAGAGAAGTACGCCTTCATGTCCCAGGCCAGAGGGCCCAGGGGACTTGGGTCACAGCCCAGGCTGGGCTATGAGACACACCAGCATTTGCCTGGGCCCTGAATCCCCTTTTCAGGAACAAAACTAATTTTTCAGGCTTTGGGTTCTTAAGGCCACAAGCTTTCCAAGAAATTTTAAATCCGGTAAAATTCACCCAAATCCTATAATCACTCATGGAAAGGCTGGACTGATTATTTTAGCTAAAATGTTGGCAGGTTTCCAGCTTCATGAAATGCAGCTTTGCTGAAAGAAAAATTCCTCGTGGGCAAAACCGCGTATCAGTGGTTTTTGAAAACAAATGAAAATAAAGCATTTCAGAAAAAAACACACCTTTAAAAATAGCCTTGATGCTATCTTTAGCCCCAAGGCTGGAAGAGGAAGGTTCACACTTATTTTTCATGTTTCCCCAGAACCCAGCTAAAAGAAAAAGGGGCAGGCTTCCCTATTTTTAGGCTCCTGTTCCCACTGCAGATGCAAGGAAAGCAATTTTCCCAAAGCTGGCTGGAGTTCAGCCTGCCCCAGCTCTGGAGAAACGGCTTGGAGAGGGTTTGGGAGACCAGGAGCTGTTTGTAGGTGGCCAAAAGTAGGTTAGGGATAGCTCAGCCTAATCATTTCAGGGCAGTTGCCAGGGGCTTTCTCACAGGGAGGTCTGTAAAAGATTAACTGAGTGCTGCTGCAGCCCCTCATCACCACTTAAAAAAGGCCTTTGAGGCTCTCCTTGCAGCTCATTTCAGAGTGGTGAGAGCAGGGTGAAAAGCAGCATCTGGCCCTGTGCCACACATGGCAAGGTGACCACAGGCTCACTCTACCTCCTCACCCGAGCTGCTCCTCGGCTCTGGGGTGCACAGCTGGGCAGGGAGACATCTGGCTCCACGGTGTCATCACTCTTCTCCAAACCCTTAATAATCTCCTGGAAGTGCAAGGACCAGGATTGCACAAATCTCTCAAGACATTCATGTACAGTAGCTTTAGAGGCACAAGGGTGCTCTCAATTTTACTCCTTTCCTAACCCTCCCCAACACATGGTTTCCCTCTGCTTCTGCTAGATGAGGACATATTTGGGTAGGAATGGCTACCATAGCTCGAAGCTCCTTTGCCCAAGTGGCAGAGGCCAGCTCAGACCATGTCTTTTGAAATGCGCACAGCCTCATTTTACCTGTATGCATCCTTTAGTACTTACCTACAATGTCTTTCATCCATCATTTGCACTGCCCACTTGCAGTTTCGTAAGAGCTTTTTGCAACTCCCCAGTCAATCTTCTTTTTCAGCATCCTAAACAACTGTCCGTCATCAAACTATCTCTTGGCTTTATGACAACTCTGTTATCCAATCCAGGTTTAATGACACATGCCACCAACCACCTCCCTTCCTGGAAAGGAACACCTCCTCTATTTCCCAGCTTTAATCATCTATGGGAAGACATTGCCTTTAATGCCATAGCTTTTGGGTTTCCTTAGACACCAGTAGCAGTATAAAACAGTTCCCACTTGCCTATGTTCTTTTTGAGTCCTTCAGAGAAGTTGAAGGTTTACAAGACGTGACTTCCTTCTATAAAATCCTATTGACTCTCCCCAGCGAATTAATAAATGAATTGTACCCTGTGGTCTAGTTTCTAGTCACTTGACCACTACAGACATCGAGAAAGCCCCTGGAGGCTCTCTTTAATGTCCTGTGGAAAGGCAGTGCAGCTGCCCTGGTCCAGGAGCCGTTTGCAGAGCTCTTGCTCAGGAAGATGAAAAATCTTCTGGGTATTCCCATGAAGTAACTGCTGCACAGCCTCACACCAGCTACTCACCTTGCCTGGACTCCTTAATCCACAGACCAGTGGATTTAATACCACTGTATGAAAGAAGGCAGCTTACATAGAGGCTGCTTGGAACATGCTAGCTGAGGTCTTGGGCAGCAGAGCTTACAAAATAGAAGTTTAATGAACAGGGTGCTGGGCAGAGGAGTTTCAGTCATACATAGGAATCTGCATCGCCCAATTCTTTGCCTCTATGGTTGTTGAGGACACCCAGGAGCACCCCAGCCAGGGAGGGGTAACTAGCCCCAGAAAGGCACGAGAGTCCCTGAAGAACCCAGGGCACGAGGTAGGAGCCAGGATACTTGTTTTTGGTGATTTGCTTACACTTTACAGAATTAGCAGACTAGTGGAATGAGTTGCTTTATTTGGAAAAAAAAAAGACAAAAAATAGTGCAACTGAATGACAAGATTAATTGCATTACACTGATTTTGTTCTTTGTTAAATCCAAACACAATAGCACATACTACTTTAGAAGAATTTACCTTTGTAATAGCATTGCAAGCTATTTAGCATTTGAAAGCAGCTACCATGTAGGAACACTTTCCAGGCACCAATGAGACACCATCAACTCTCAGGTAGGCACAGGAAATAGAAGCAGTGGTCCAACAATTCAGTCAATCCACTGTTAGGCTTCATAATACCTCTCCGGAAACGGCGAAACCACATGAGAAAACACTGCTCCAGGCTGAACTCACTCCACCAGTTCAAAAATTTTTTTTCCCCTTGAACAGGCTTCCTTTGAAGCAGCAGGCTTTACCCAAGATCAGGCATCATCTTGTCTGCACATCTACCCTCCTGCCAGAGTGGCTGCAAACCATCCTCCAGTGGGAGGCATCCAGCCAGCACAAGTTGTGCACTACTCACTCTGCACAGCTCAGGAAGAGGAAGCCCACCGCTGCTGCCTGACCCAGATCTCATCTGTCTCACAGGCAGAGCAGGAACAGCGGGAAGCTGCTGTTATTGTGGTTCCACAGATAGAGGTACTGACATAGTGACTAGCTTTACTGAGAAAGTCAGGAAAAACCAGGGCAGAGACCCAGATACCTTAATGTATGCTGAGTAGTGAATGCATCTTCAGTTTCTAGAGCTACAACAAGCTTAAATAGGTTGGAAGCTTGCAATTGTGTCAGAAGTATTCAGGCATTCCTCCTCCCCCCTTGCATGTCAGAGCTGACAGACAAAACTAGATCTCTAGAGTTGTAGTATCCGTTCCCATCACGATGAAGAGAAGCAGGAAAGGGAGCACTTGCTGCCTGCAGATCTACTCACACCTCTGGGGCTTGTAGATACCCAGAACTGAACAGCCAAAGGAATGATAGACCTCCCGCTGCCCACCTTGACTTCCAGGGGCAGTTCACTTCAAGCAGCACTTTAAGAAAAACGAACTACTGAGGAAAGAATATGAACAACTCTCTGGGCAAGCCTGCCAAGTGCCTGTTGACAGCCCTCGTTGCACTGGCAGGAACATAGTGCCACAGCTCAGTCAAAGGTGCACAGGGCTGTTCAGCTGAAGGACCTTTTCCTGCACTGGTCCAGAGTCAAACCAAATGAAGGAGCATAGAGATTCAAGGTGGGACTGTAAGTAACTGATCTGAGGGAACTGGGTAAGCAGGACAGGTTTGCAGACATAAACCATCTGCATTTGGAGTGGAAGGAAACAGTTAGAGAAGAGCACAAGGCAATCAATACTGGAAGGAAGGACCAGCGGATGCCCAATTCTTTTTTCTCCCTTTGAAGTATCTGCCACAACCTGTCAGAGGTCTCAGGCCACTGTGCCTGATGGGTCCAGGGTTTCTGATGCTTCCAGTGGTCTCTTACAGTGTCTCCATGTGACTAGTCCCAGTCGAACAGCAAAGATCAAGCAAGCCATTGCCAGTAGAACAACTAGAAAAGACGTGCAGAAGCATGTTAGTACATGAGAGAAAGATCTGTGCTTCTCATCATACCCCAGCTCCCAATACAGGGGACATTCAGCAAAAGAGGAAAAAAGAACCCCCCCTGTATAAAAGTCATTACCCCCCATCAGAGTTGTATTTCACAGAGCTCAGTTTCACTGCTTTCCAGTCAAACTCACCAAATGCTGCCAGGTCAAAGCATGTCTAAGAGGGGGAGGCTTTATGAACACAGGAATAAAAATGCATTACATTAACAAAACACTCCAAGAATAGTCAAACTATGTAAAGAAACATGCACTAGTCTGGGAAAAGCACATTCGTGTCCTACCAGCCAAACTAGCTGAACCACTAAGAGTAAAGTTTTGCTGGTAAAAATGCACTTACTGCAGGAACACAGATGTCTGCCAGAGATCACACATACCTCCACATTCCTGGTGGCTGTAACCATCAGGAGAGGAGTCTCCAGTGCCCTCATGCCTTTGACAGACAAGCTCTGCTAAATTCTGCTGGATGCTTTTAGGCATTACCAGGCTCCTGCTGCCTTTACAGCAAAAAGGAATGTGTACTGGAGTGGCTGTAATGGTGGTATCAGCTCAGAAATTAGCTTTAGTCAACGGTAGATGGCAGTGGGAAGGTTGAAGCGTGGGAACGTGTTCCCTTCTGCTGACCCTACAGTGGGAACAGGCATCTCTGACTGCTACAGCAGAATTCAGAGTTCATACAGCCCAGTTCCTTTCAAGCCAGCATATAACTAGTCATAATGGCATAGCTTTTTCCAGGCTGTGACTGTACAGTATTCAGACAGCTTAAGCCCTTTTACAACAGATGACTACACTCAACTCAGCTGCAGTGGCCTGCAGTAGACATATAATCCCAGGAAAACTTGTTAAGGCTAGCCTGAGCTCTGCTTAGGAAAGGAATATGTGCAGGGTTTTGCATAGTGAAATTTAGATAAAACTCCTCCTTGGGTCAGAAACCTACTCTCTGCTGCTATATGCCAAGGGATATAATGCTAATGGAATTCCACAGCCTTCATGCCAGTCCTGCTCTTGCTTTGGCCCACCATGCATTGGTGGAGATACCAGCAGAGGACTCAAGTGGATGATGGAGAATTGTAGGGCAAACTATCGCACTGGAAAGGGAGCTTGAGGCAACACAAGGTTTGAATCCAGCCCCAGCACTCATTGTCAATGATTTCTGCTCTACTCTTTACTTTGCAAAATGAACACCTTCTAATAAATCCCTAGTTATGCTTTTTATAAGTAATACTTTCCAAGAGGCAAGTATGCCTTTCTGCCCCTTACACACAGGAAAGATGTGGAAGTGTTTACTGGCCTTCTTTTACAAGAGTTGGAAGTAGTCCAAAAGATTCACCTATAAAAATGTTGTTGGTCGTTGGGGATGAAAATGAGAAATTCTTGCATGTGCTGCCAGTCAGAGCTATTATGACCACTGGGTAGATGGTAAGGTTATAGCGGACATGCTTGTCAAGGAAGAAGTTTTCTAGATAAAACCTGTGAAGAAAGAGAGTCACCAGACTAAGCATTTTCTCAGTACCTTTTCTTCGACAGAAAGTTTAATACTGGAATTGGACAAAGAATGTTTTTTCTGCAGGCTAGTTTGGACCAGAGTCTGAAATTGTTCATTTACTAAAATTCAGAAGATTAATTAAAAAATTATCTAGAGGTAAGTTTAGGGAAAAAAAAAAAAAAAAAAAAAAAAAAGAGCTGTGTTTCATATGTTTACCATATCAAGCCCTCACCTGTGAGCCTAGGTTGGGCTCATGTAAGTTGTGGCAACCTGGTTCCTGGCCCACAGCATGTACTTATTGGCATTGCTGAGGGTCACGAAAGAAAAGTGCTGCCCCAGGCTCCCTGTTCACCTGCTATGAATTATAACATAGGCCTTTGTACTCAATGTTGGTACAGGGACAGACTATGACAGAATTGGTTCAACTGAGGTTCAATCCATTTGTGAGAGTTGGAAGAGGTCTTTCAGGCTTGGTGAGAACCTCCAAGTTTGCTTACCATATCACTAGATCAAGAGCAAGGATGCTTAGAGCAGCAGTTGTTGCAGTCTCGTTGGACACATTCCACTTGTAGATCAACACAATAGCAAAGTTCAGCAGAGTGGCAATGGTGGTCCATGTTGCATACAGCGCCAGCCCATTCTGTACCTGCCATATAGCACAGCAAGATGACAAACAGTGATAAAGAAAGTAATTCCTGTTTGTCTTTTGTGACCCATAGGTCCTGGGACAGTTAAGTCAGCCTTCTGGACCTAGCTGCAGAAGTCGTCCCTTGACACAGAGAAGAGTTGAATCTTTGGAGTCCCCAAAGTAGCTCAGAGATCCATCCCAGTGGCAGGTGCAGATGTTTCTCACCCGCACCCCAAAGTGGACAGTCTACCTGGCTGCCCAGCCCAGTTGTTGCAGGCTGCTGTAACTGGCAGAGAACTGTTTTTTGAATCTCAACAAGCTCATAGCAAACGACTTTGCTATGTGGAGCCTGCAGCAGGCAATATCAAGGACTGGAGTCACTCCTGAGAGTGGATGGGGAATCCAGCTATTCCCAGTTCCTTGTGTTATACTGGTGTCTCAGGAACTGAAATACAAAGATGTAAACTGAGCCTGCTCACAGTTTGGGCCAAGAGATTTAGAGACATTTCCAGCAGAGTCAGTAAGAACTTTTCTGTGCAGACTCCCAGCTTTACAGACTCCCTCTCCACTGGAGACCATCCTGGCTCCTTTGACATGCTTTTTCAGCTGATCCACTTTCTCACTGAGCAATGCCAACATCAAGCAAGGGAACCAAAAGTGGTTGAAGCACACATAGCAGGCACGGGAGGAACTGCAGTGTGAGGCATTCTGTGTGAGTAGGAAGGGTCTGGGGACAGCAGGTTGGAGCTAGGAAAGAGGAACCAGGAGGGAATCGAGGAGTGATGGAGTATGTTTATCTTATTTTCTCTGTGCAGTTTGCCAAACATCCACGCTTCTCAGACAGCTGAAGAGTAATTTTCTTCCAGAACTTGGCAGAACTCAGAAAGGCAGCTGTATTTGAAACCTTGAGCAGCGTACACTTCCCCATATACGAAATTAATAAATTTTTGTAGTCATATGACAGGGACATCACCATTAGCTATAGCAACAGAAGTCACCCTTAGCAATGGCTTTTCCTTCTGCAAGAAATAGTTGTCTCTCCACCCCAAACACAAGACTGGGGTGAAGTTTTCATATATCACTGAAAACTTCATTCTGTAGTAGCTGGAGAAGTACAAGGGATATACCTTGCTCTGAATTGTTCCCATGATGTCTGATAGGAAACTGAGATGCAATTAAACCTGCATATATCTGCAGCAGACGTAAGTTAAAGTCAGGGCAGAAATCTTCCCTTACTCATTACTCATCTCCTGTCATTGACTTTTTCATTCTTGACACCTTCAGCAGCTTTTTTTTTTTTTAGCATTTACCAACAGCAGACTCCCAAATGCCACCTACTAGGATGCGGATGATCCAGAGCTCAGCTTTGTGACCCTTCATAAGCCACGAAGAATGGATGCTCAGTGCTCGGTGTGAAATGAAGAGGGCGGCACAGGTAGTAAGAGTGATGGCTGCCAGGAGCACCAGGGCTGGGAGGAGGTATCTAGGACAAAGATACATGGACACACACAATGTACAATATACTTTTTCAGTGGTGTCACAATGCCTTAATTTGTAGCTTTAGTGTCTGGCCTTTACTGACTTTAGGTTAATTTGCCTTTAATAAAGGTAATCACTACATGTAGCCCTCATTTTAACATACTGCTGGTTTACTCTGTTAATCACAAAGTTATTTTCCTGACTGCAGCTGATTTCTTCACCTCTTGACAACAGTGCTATTATGAGCCCTTCATGTCACCATGATTACGAAAAAGATCCAAGGCAAGGAGCTTAACTGTATTTATGAAGAAAGGCATGGCCCCTGTGTTACCTGTGCAGAAACAGACAGAAGAACAGCCACTCTGAGGAGATCTTGGACAATAACAAATCTACCTCAGAGGCAAGATTAAAGCATCATAACCCCAATTTCTATGAAAGCTGTCTTTTGCCAAGGCCTGCCATAGAGTTTTACAGGTGTGATTAAGTGTTCACTCATAGGGAAAAGTGCAAAATGAAGTATTGGGATAGTCCCAACAAAATGGTTAGAACGCATTTGTAACAAAAAGCAACTTACTCTCGGTCCCACAGAAACAGCCATCCTACATTGAAGCCATTATTCAGAATCCACACCACATAAAAAGGTATTGGCAACAAGTCCGGCTTTAGGTAAACACATCCAATTTCATTCCTGCTAGGAAAAAGTTGGAAATGGAAAAAGGGAAACAATGCCTGCATTGACCAGCCAGATTTTCCTGGCTTTATTCTCCTTGTAGAGATAGGGACTATGGTAAAGTTAAGCATTCAAGCTTAAATCAGACTATTTCTCCTCTGCGGCCTTCTCTGATGCAAAGTACAGTCTCTGTGGCTTTCCACATCAGGGCATTGTCCCATGGTGCAGAACTTCCTGCTGGTCTCTGCACCACCACAGATTTAGTGGGTGCTAAGAACTGCTCCACAGATGCTGCAAAACTTGTGCCACTGGTGGTGGTAGCAGTGGTATGATCATGGGATTTTAGCCCAGTTCCCAGGGAAAAAGGCTTACGGGGTCATAATGTGCTTGCACATATATGTACGTGGACTTGATCACTTTTGTGCAAACATACTTTATTCTTCCTTCAACTTCAGTGTTGCCCAGTAGCAACTGAGCAACGGCTTACAAGTCATGTGAAAACAGCAGATACACAAGACAAACTAAGCAGTTCTTGTTCCCCTTTGACAGAAGAGCTGCAATGTAAGTCCATCCCACAAAAGACATCACTGAATATTACAGATATTGCATGATACTGCAAGAAGTAGTTAATGATCTCATAGCCCCAGGAAAAGCTTTGAGTCCAGTTCAATCCCCCAAGAGACTTCCCAATGGCAATTCTCTGATCTCTAACAAGTAAGACTCAAAGTATTAACTCCTTAACTCATTAATTTTGGCCACCATGGATTCTCAGCATTTAGCAGTGGGTAGGTGCAGCTACTAGATAAGTCTGTCGGATCATACAAATTAGTGGAAACCAGGCTTCACAGAACAGCTTACGTGCTTTGTAAGCTGTCCACACATTAGCGCAGTTCATATACACCTCCAAAGTGCTTCCCAGCTTTGGATGCTGAACCTAAGAGCAACAGAGCTTCAGCATTTGAAGTTAAGAGGAGTAGAAGTGGGTTTACTCTGACTAGAAACCCTAGACAAGGGGGTAAGAGGCTGAGCCATGCAAGGGAAGAGCCAATGTCCCTCCTTTATACTCTAAGCAGGGAAAATACCTTCGACAGATCCCTGACAAGGCGTAGAGAAGCCAGGCAAGCTGCCAGGCATAGATGACATTCCAGATGAGGAAAGTCCAGCCAGCTGGTGTGAAGTCAGTGTTATATTTCTCCGAGATGTTTCCAGGGGTTGTCCTGAACAGACCTGCAGTAGTGAATGGTACGGCAGGCAAAAGTGTTAATCCATACTAAGGATGGGGAAAGACTGCTCATTTCCCTAACCCTGCAATCTTCCTCAGGGCTTAGTCCACACCTCAGTGGATTCAAGGGAGATGAGAGGATGCCCTTGGTGAAAACAAGCTGTGTGCTGAGGTTGGCTTGCCTTTAGACACCCTTTATGGGATCACTGTCACTTATGGGGAACACTAAGCGCCTTCTTCCCTCTTATACAGAACCAGAAAAGCCAGTTCCACATGAAAGTCAGAGAGAAGCACAATGTTCGTTTCTGACAGATTCAGCTGGGTAGCGTTCAAACCAAGCACCATTGCCCTCTATAAAGCCACAGCAGCAGCCCAAACAGCTTCCACCAGGGATACAAGTACAGCATATGCAAAGACCAGCTTTCACCTGCCACTAGATCCAGGTTCACCAGGGACAAGACCATTTACTTGGGTTTCAAGGGACTGGATAGGGCTCAAGCACCTGGCTGTAACACCTGGAGAAAGCACCAGCTACTTCCACCTTTCACAAATCAAGGTGTATGTGGAGAGGTAGTGAGGTGACAAACAGATCTATCTCATCTAAGGCACCTTGTATCATTAAATGATACAATGCATGAACCCCACCTCTGAGAAAAAGTTTGCTTGCATTACCTTTGAATATCCCAGTGGCATTTCCAGCATTCAGTATCACCATGATTGTGAATGTGGCCAGAGACAGGAACATGACAAAAATCTTCATCTTGTGTATAGCATCCATTTTACCCTGCAACAAATTAGAAATGTTGTTAAGCTGTCCTAAAGTATGTTCTATGACCCAAAGAGTGTTTTAGAAATAAATCTGGGGAATTTACCATGTTAAATGCTAATTTTTGTGGTGTTTTCATAAGAACTAAAAAAGGCCTTGCATGGGCTAGGGGCCATCTTTCTTTGAACCAGCATCCCGGTGACAGCAGTCAGTGTCAGCAGCCCAGAGAGCAGCCCCAAAACAGGGCAAGCAACAGGTACTTACCCAGACCACTCTTTCAGCAGCTCAAGGATTTCTAGTAGTAGCAGCACATTTAATAGTCTCTTTTGGGTTTTTAAGACTGTAAGCTCTCCACATCCATGAAGTAATCTGATGATCTGGGCAAAAACCTCTCTCCTGTTGTCTAAGCTCGGCTGTTACCTCCCTCTTCCAATCCCTAACACTGTAACAGCCAAAGACCCCCATACCAGTTTCACACAGAGAACATACGCTACAAAAACCATGGAGGGCTGCCTGATTTCTGGACAACCCTGAAGAACAGAATCACAGAGGCCTTGCCAGGTTGCAGAATTGAAATGGGAAGCCATGGAGTGTTCAGCAAGCAGCCTGGTCTGCCACCAGCCATCACTTACTGGCATAGGGCAAAAGACATAGCTCAGGTATGTCTACGGATGTATTGCAAAGGTTAAAGTCTAAATAATTAGCAAGCAAGTGTAAAAGAGGGATTCCAGCTTATGTCATACTGTTGTCATTTTGCTGAAGCAAACAGGCCTATCAATTTTGCTCTCTTTAGGAAAGAGATACGAAAACATTAAAATCTGGCTTTACAGAGTGCCTTTTAGTTCAGTATAACTTTTCACATGTACTCTCTAATCCTGCAACTCCTACAAAATAATCACTTCTTTTCCTGGTGGTATTACCTCCTCGTCTACTGGCTGCAAGTAAGATTTAAATACTTTTGCAGGTCTCAAGAACTTTATAGATCATAAAATCTACATACTACATTTTTTTTCCCCAAGGCTTTTAAGTAGTGACTTGAACACTCCCAACTGATCTCCATTAGTCCAGCATTTGTTCTGTCAAGGAAGAGTTCTGTGCCACCCTGTAAGAGGAAGCGTACTCGCACCTGTACTATAGGCACCAGCTTTATTTCCCTTTGCAGCTCAGCACTTGAGCTGCCTTCTCTACACAATGGCAGTTCAATGTCTGCCAGGGTTGGCAGGAATATTAACTGAGTTTTTCTAAGCTGTTCAGCATTGAGCTAGTAAATTACAGTTCCCACTTCGGTGGATAGTTTTACAGTTCCCGGCTTTGTCCATGAACTGACCTGCATCACCAGGAAGTGGGAGGGGAAATTCTATTTTCTGTAAATCCATACAAGATTTTGCTTTTTCGCTTCCATGTAAACAGAAAACCCCTTTTTTTTTTTTAAATGAAAGTCCTATATGGAAGTACTCATTTAACTCAAGATATCCAATCCCAATTAGATTTGTCAGTCAAATTCCAAAATAACGTATTATCTTCAGATACAATGAATTAGTAAATTCTGAAAAGAAAAATCTGCTTGCATTGTTAAAGATATCATTCCTGACTCAGGACATAACTGACTTGCAGATTTCTGAAAGCTAGGAAAAAGTCGGAGAGGAAACATCACTGTACACTTGCCCAATTCCTATGTTCTTTCCTTGAACATTGACTTTTGACCACTCCAAACCAGTACATAGAACTAGATGGTCCTTTGATCTCACTGTGAGGCCGAATGTATGTTCTTCTGGCAGTCCTGTAATTGAATTCAGCACCACATTTCTTCTTTATTAGCATATTCAGAAGAGACTTGATTACACAGCTTCAGAGAAACCCATACTTTCTTAGAGAGGTCTAGGGGGAAAGCCTTATTTTAAAACCAGTCAATAATTTCGCTACTGTCTCTCACCTCCTGCCTCCCTCTAATTTGTTGCTGGCAATAAAAGTCTGCAATATTTCCCTGCCTGCAGTTATCAATCACAAATACCTTTTAGAAGAACCAGAAGTGTTACTCACAAGGATCCACACAGGCTTTTTGGCAGCGTCTTACAGATGTAGTGCTGGGGAGTCTCCACCACTCAATCTTATCTAAAGAGACTTTCAGCAGATTAATAATCACGCATTATTTAAAAATAAAATCACAGTAGTTAGACATGCTTTCTCTCTGTGAGCTGCAGACTCCAACTGGCTGAAGCCTCCCAAAAACAAGCACTTACGCAAGAGAAGTGCGATTACTTAACAAGTGCCTTTTATAACAACCAGAGCATTTCACATTCCCAGCTTGCTGACAGACAAAATCTAATGAGTGCATGCTCTCAGGCTTTCGCCTACTTCGACCTTCCCTATCTCTGCCACAAGGAGGGAAACCGAGCGCTCCCAGTGCAAAACATTACATGTCAAAATCATCGCTAGGGCAGCACTCCTGTGTGGGAGAGGGGACGCTTGCAGGGGTAGCTGCAAAAACAGAATGGATTTGGGGAAGCTGGATGTGTCACATAGCAAGCTCTGGATCCTGTGAGCAGCTACTCCTATAGCCCCAAAGGTAGCTGAAAGCTGAGCTCCTCTGTGGACTTGGCACTCAGGGGCATTTTGTAGTGATAAACACTGTATAGATTGAGTAACTTCTCCTGCACAACAAGCACATGTAGACCAATCCTGTATTTTTATAGCAGTGCCACACATACTGTTGAACGTTCCTGATCCTGATCTCAAAAGCTGGGATTTTTAAAGTAATTCCTAGATCTGAAGGACTCTAGAAACCCCAGGGAGAACCTTCCAGATGTTAGAACCAGAAAGCAGGGACAGGTGAAAAGATAACCCCAAACCTGAGGTGTTGAACGGAATTTTTCAAGATTTTTTTTTAGAAATAGTGTTCAAGCATCTTGCACAAGTAAATTTTTGTTCACAGATACGGAAAAGGCTCCTGCCCCCTGCTGCAAGCCAGTCCCACAGCAGCAGAGCAAGCTACACGAGCTGATCAGTCTCCACCTGCATCTCTGCCTGCTACAGATCTGCAATCTCACCACATCCACTCCTGTCATTTTATATTTCTGCTTGTTTCCACTCAAATTTAAACTGTCATGACCAATTACAAGTATGCTTCAGCATCAAAATATTTATCTTGTGCAACTACAGTGTCTACCAAGCAGACAGTCTTACTGGAGACTGCCCCATGTCAAATATACAGGCAGTGAAAAACCCATGGAGCCAGGAATGAACCCTACTAGGGCTTCCTTGGCCTTTGGAGTAGGGGTACAAAGCCTACGTAAATGTGGATTTGCCAGCAGTAGGGAAGAGCAGGGCATCCAGCCAGCACTGCTGTTGCCTACCTTATCAATGTAGGTCTGAGGCACACCCTCTAAAGGTATTCTGATGAGGAAATCAGTGGCTTAAGTATGATTATTTCATATCAGCCAGACAATACATAATGGTCTACACACTGATTGCAAACTAGAACAGCTCATACATAACCTGTTCCTTGAAGAAAGCCAAGGCCTGGGCTCACAGCATGGTAGCATTGGCATCTCTCTCTCTCTCCCTCTTTTTTCGCTTTGTGTATCCCCCCTAAATGTGTACACGAGCCCTAGAAACTGCCTTCATCTGACTCAAGTTTATAAGCAGTGTTACAGCAAGTATGGGCTAGAATACAAACCGAATCGTTACTCACATTGTTTGGGCCTCTTCCTACTACATTAAAATCTAAAAGGTACTTTTTTCCACAGCTGGACCACATCTTATTTATGACCCACTGTATTTTACACATATATTTTTACCCATCTGGTAGCCCATACCACCCCAGCATGCAGACACTACATTTTCATCCAGTGAACGAGTGTTCTGAAATTCTTAATACAGACAACTATCTTACACACGTCTGCTAGGCACAGCTGATCAGCTAGGTCCACGCTGATCTAAATCCAGAGGAAGTTCTGCAAGTGGGAAACATTGGCCACATGGGAGAACCAATGTACACTTTGCTACCCCATGTTCTTGCTGGTTATTTCATAATGCATCTGTCTTGTTTCAGTGAGACAACTGGAAGCAATACCACCATAGCAGCAGCCTTGTCCTCTTGACACAAAAAGCCAGGCATAAGATTTAGGCCCACATTCTGGGTTTCAAAAGTTATTTTTTCAGAATACTTTGCAAGACAGGCCTTGAATAAAATATTCAAAATTATTTTATCATGCAACTTTACAGAAATCCCCTAAAGTATGTTTGTAAAGTACAGAGGAATGAACTTAGTGCTTATGAATGTGTTAAAACTGAACAGCTCTTGCTTCAGTAGGCTGCACAGCATAGCCAAAAGTGGGAATGCTCAATACAGCTACAGCTCTAACATACTAGCGTCAAACCCAAAACAAGCATTTATAGAAAGACCCTACCTTGCTAGTCTATCTTCACCAAAAGACCCCTGTTAGACTTAATGTCTTCCACACGGGTTTCAGTTGATTATCCTTGCTGGCCTGTTGAGGAAGAAAAAATTATGTTGTCAAATGAGAGTGACAAATGCAGTTATAGACACTTCAGCTAAGAAATGGCTGTTAATGTTTGTATGCACAGAGAAAAGGAAGCATAATAAAATCCACATTCACAAAAGAATGTGTCGTGAAACCAAGAGAGCGAGCAACAATGCTGAATGAGATCACTGGAACCAACTCCAGGACACAGCTCATGTTCAGTACTTTCCAAGATGAACTGCTTTGAATCAAATGCAAGTTTGTGTTCACCTGGGTCATCATAAAGGAAATAATGGTTATTTTACCGTCAAGGCAATTTTCCACTGATAAGCAGAATATACATACCTTTTTCCTGTATTCCCAAATATCTCTAAAGAAGGGTCTATCTTTAAAGTTCTCATCTGTAATTTCCCAGAGAATAAAGGGAAAAAATTGCTTTTCAAGAAAGAGATCTACCAAGCCCATCCCTCTCATGTGCACTCCCTGCTGCACCATGTTTGTCCCACCAGCACCAATGCACCTGAAACACCAGTT